AAAGTCCTTTTCAGCATGGTTAAGCACAGGAATAAATTGCCTAGGGAGACTGGGGAATCTCCATCATTGGAGATTTTAAAGAGCAGATTAGAGAGACATCTGTCAGGGATGGTTTAAATAATACTTAGTCCTTCTGCCATCAGTGCAGAGGACTGTACTAGATGATTTTTCAAGGTTTCTTCAAGTTCTGTGATTCTATGATTATGTTCCTAAATGAATTCATTTAAATGTAGGCCTGCTCATTGGGAGAGGGGAGAGAAAAGGGGGCAACTGTCCTCTGGCCCTGAGATTCAAAAGGACCCGAAGCTCCCAGCTGCTGCCATTGATGCTGTGGCAGTGGCAATGCCCAAACCCCAGAGACATTTAAATCACTGCCAGAGTGACACGCAGCATGCTCTGGGTGGCATAGGGCTGCCTGAGGAAGAGGGAGCACTGCATAGCACACTCCAGACAGCATTGAGGGAGGGGACCATTGTCTGGGAGGCACTAAGGGCCTTGCCCACCCCTTTCTAGAAGCATGGAGCTGGTCCCTCCACAACTTGCTCAGGGACCCTGCGTGGCTATGGGCTGCCCTTTTCAAATGCAATTTTTCCAACATACTTTAGCAAGCAACAATAGCATTTAGCCCTCAATGTATCAGAGTTTTTGTTTAGGCTACAAGCTACTGTATCCGTTTTTATTTTCTTCCAAGAACTGGTGATTAAATTTACAAAGCAATGTTACCACACCAGAATGGTTTTATCCAACAAGTCTGAGAGAAAGGATTTAAAAAGCTGTGGTCTTTTCTGAGTAATTTTATTCATTGTGTGGAGCAAAACACTATCATCTTGCTTGCATTTTTTCTCAGAGAATCTGAAAACGTGTCACATGATAATAACCGCCTAGAATCAGTGAAACAATATCAGTGACCATAACATCATTATATCTATTATTTGTATTTTAGCTGTGAAATCCTGTACAACTACTATTTTCAATACTATCCATCTTATGGTCTGAATGACTGGGCTGACTTCATATCTTAAAAGAGCTTGCAGACCAAAACAGGGTCCCATGTTTCCTAAATGGAGAAATTCTGAGTTCCTCCACACACTCTAATTCCACTATCAGTTGGAAGAAATATTGAGGTGTGAGTTGAGAGTATGCACTGTGTAGATACCCCATCATGCAAAAAAAAATGGTTGGAGCCCCAAATAGTTGGTTGTCAGATGCTGTTAAACCAGATGAAAAATTCCCTTAATATTATGGTTTCTGAGAGTACTCAGATGTTATAGTGATTGCCCAAAGAAACAGTGTAAAGAGAAAAGAAATGAGGGTCAAGGACAGAGCCCCGGCGTAGCCCTGTAAACCTCATCAGAGAGGAGCACTTGACAACAATCACTGAAAAATGGTCAGAGATGAAGGAGGAAAATCAGGAGGCTACAATATAGTGAAAACCCATTGAGGATAAGAAGTATGAAATATTTTTGTTACCAGTCACTGTAAAAAAATATTTTATAAGGCCTCAATCCCACATTTCTTGTACCCTGAATAGCACTTCAGGAAGATGCACAGATTTTGTAGTGATGGGGACCTTAGAGAGAAGCAAAAGTACTTGGATGAACACATAGATACATATTGGAATGATAAACGAGTCCAAAAACAACAGTCAGAAAATCTCTTATCTGTTATCCCCTGGTGTTACTATACATAGTAATTCCACTTTGCTTTTCTTACCTTATTGCAATATGTTACAGATTCACTTGTTAATTTTTTGAATCATCAGTTCACATCCACGGGTGGCAACTCACCTCTTCTTCAAGAAATTACTCCTTTGTAACTCCAGGGCAATTGATAAAGAGAGAGAATATTCAGCTCTGGCTGTTTTCTTTTCTTCCTCCACTGAATCATATAGAGCTCTGTCAGATATTTCATGAATTCCATTATTAAATCTTGTTACTTGATACTCTTGATAGACCTTGGAAATCCACCAGTGTTTCCTGTAACAGTAAGTTTAAAAGTAAGTAGTTAATTCAAATAATATTATTCTGCTTCAAAAAGCAGTATTAGAAATGTTTAGGGAAAAAAAAATCTAGATCACTAAAAAGTTGCATACATTTACGCTTGCTGCATCAAAGTCCCTGGTTCTCTTTGTTTTTATAATTCTTGTCTTCACACCAAGTAAAGTCATAGATCTTAAAATATGAATATTTTCAAAAAATCCATTTACATTTTGACAAAGTTAAGGATTTATCTTTTCCACTGTGTCAAACTCTCCTGAAATCCAATGTAGTTTTGATTAAGCTGGTTTTATTTCAGACAATGTTCAAACTTGTCACGTGCACTAATAGGAAGTTACATCCTGGTTTTAGAGTAAAGCTGCCTGTTACACATAAATAATTACGAGAAACACCTTAAAAGCAAATAAAAATGAATGGAGAGGAAAGCTGAAAGTCATTGCTTGTTCAGAACTGCTAAAATATAGAAAAAACAACCAAAAGTGCCTTTCAGATAGGGCATTTATTGTATCTAAGAAACAACCTAAGTGCAGTAAAATTTAAAAATCCTTGCACTGACTCTTCAGGAATAAGTACATAAGCTATTTGTATCATTGCCTAGAGTTATTAATTATTATTATTATTATTTTAGTTATTTAAATAGTGCAGAGCTTTTTAGCCATAGATCTCAAAGACCCTTACAGAGAAGGGAAGTAGCATTATTCTCATTTGACACAGAGAACTGGGAAAGTTTTATGTAAGTTCTCTATAACGTATGTTGTTGTTTTCTAAATACCACTTAGTCTTCATTTAGGATATCCTGTGCGTGTGTCATCTTTTGTCTGAAATGTATTCTCACTTGATGGAGAAAATAAAACAGCTGCCTCAACTAAAACAACTGGTCTTAAGATGTAGTAAAGTTAGTTTATTTCTCTGAGACATGGCCCAAAACACTGGCAATGGATCCCTGTCTAAAAGGGTATGTCTAACACAGCAGCATTATTTCGGAATAACTGGTGTTATTCTGAAATAACATAGTGTGCATCTACACTACAAGCCTTTATTTTGAAATAATGTCAAGCTAGAGGACTTCTTACTCCGACTCATGGTAACCCTCATTTCACAAGAAATAAGGGAAGTTGAAGGAAGAGTGTTCTTCCTTTGACTTCCTGCTGTGTAGACAGTGCCAAAAGCCGAATTAAGCTATTTTGACTTAAGCTACGCAATTCACACAGCTGAAGTTGCGTAGCTTAATTCAACTTTAGCCCTGCTGTGTAGACATGCCCTAAGAGTCCAGTTCCTATCAGCCTCCTAATTACACTTATCTTTCCTTCTGCAGAAAGCAAAGGAGAACGGCTAGATGAGACAGGTTGGAAATAAAAAAAGAATTACTAACCTCTATTGACTTAAATGGAGAAAGATTGAATCTTAAGCACTGGTGTTGAAAAAAATACTTGCTAATGCTGATATTTAGGTTAGAGAACACTGCCTTGATCTTTTAAAATTATTATTAAAGAGCTATCTAGATTTAGTGGAGTTTTGATGATTTAATTGCTCTGTCATTTGTAGATTAACGTCACAGAACTATCTGGGCACAAGTGTGTTTGGTATATATAATATTGCTTGTTGTTTCTGTATGTTAAGCCAAAGGTTAGCCCTTCAAGAGGTTTTCTCATAGGGGCCAAGATGGTGTAGAAACTTCTTACTCTCTACTCCAATCCCAATCCATCATTCCACTTTGACACATCAGTCCCCCTAAAGGCAATGATGAGACATAAATCTGTTGGCCAACTGTTACATTTCATTTTGCCATTTATTGGCCATAGTGACAGCAAACTCAGGCTGTGTCTAGACTACATTCCTTTTTCGAAAGAGGAATGTAAATGAAGCAAATTGAAAGTGCAAATGAAGCGTGGATTTAAATATCCTGCACTTCATTTGCATATTTGCATCCAAGCACTTTTTCAAGAAAGGGTTTTTCAAAAGTGAAAGCGCAGCCTAGACGGGATCCTTTCGGGGGGAAAAAAACCCTTTTTCAAAATAACCCGTATTCCTGAAAAAATGAGGAATACGGATTCTTTTGAAAAAGGTTTTTTTCCAGAGACCTGATTGACTATGTGCAGCACATGATACGGAACCAGGACGAACTATAAGGCAATGGCCCGTGATGAGAAGAACTACTACCAGGACACACCCAAGCAGATCAAGAGCAAGATCAGTGCGTATAAGCGCTTCTACCCAGAGGAGTTCTAGGCTTTCACTGCATCCCTGCAGCCGGAGAAGATGGACCAACAGTGACTGCTCCCACCCTGCCCTGTTGGACCCACCCACAGCTGCCACCTCAGGGTACACAAGGGCAGACTGTCCCTGTTCTGCAGGGGCTGTTAAACCATCCGTGGGCGGAGGCTCTGGGGCCTGCGACCAGAGCACTGAACTAGACGTAGTTTATGGAAAGGATCCACCCTCTGGGGAAAAGGGGGGGGATGAGCATGCCCTAGAAGGGGCTCCTCGGGACGGTGCAGCTGGGCAGATGGCCACTGTCTCTGCACGCTGGGGGTGAAGGGATGAGACTTGTGTCCTGCAGCTGTGACTTGCAATAAATCACAATGCCCTCCGTTTGTCCCAAGAGCATATGGAAAATAAGGCACGATGCTGTTTAAAAGGGAATACGCCCTTTTACGCCATGCTTTGGTCATGATCCTAAATGATACACTTCCTGGCAGCAGATGACCCTGGGCACGATCATTGTTGCCACGGGAGTCAGCGGGCCTGCTACAGCCTGGGGCCAGGACCACATGATGCAACCGGATGGTCTCTGGAGGCTCCAAAGGGACGCTTCAGCTCAGGACCGTGGGGTGAAAGGGCCCAGACGCATACAGACAAGACTTCATGGAGCCCTAGGGAAGGCAGCGCGCTGCTCTACCCCGGCCGTCAGAATGGGCAGCCTGCCCAGCTGCCAGGGGGGAGCCATGCAGTGCGCATGCGTTGTCTCCTCCCGCTGCCGCGAACGGCGCTTGCAAGTCAGCGGCGTCCTTCCACGCGCCTGCGCTCTGCGAGGCCCCCGGGCAGCACGGGCCGTCGCGCGGAGATGGAGTCTGCGGCGGAGGAGCTGATGCCCCGGCTGCTGCCGGTGGGGGACTGTGACCTCACGGAGGATTTCGACCCCTCGCTGCCCCCGCGGACGCCCCAGGAGTATTTAAAGCGGGTCCAGTAAGTGGGGGAAGGGTCCGCTGGGGCTCCCCGCCAGGGCAGCGCGGCCTGTGACACCGCCGGG